CAAGTGTTTATAACTGCAGGGCCCACCTGTGGGGGCCTACCTTCCAGGTAGGAAGTCGTGGCTGGGAGCAGAGGGAGGGGACTCTCACTTCCACCACACATCAGCTTCTGTGTCTGTATTGCTTCTTCAATAACCACAAAAGCCACACCGCCGGGTGGGCCAAAAAGCACCTGTGTGCAGGTCCTCATGGCCGCCGGCTAGCTCCTGTATGACGTCAGAGGTAAAGAGGTAACTTCTGGGCCAGCAGGTGGCATGGAGGTTAAGACGGCTGGATCCCACATGCGGTTCAAGTCTCGAACCCAGAGGCTTAGAAGACATGCTTGGTACGTGTGTGTGTATGCCCCAAATCATGAAAGGATGGAGAAATGGAGGAAAAGGATTGCGATGTTACCATATCTTTCTGGTCACTCACTCTGGTGAGTGTCTTCTGGCTTAGAGAGAGAGAAAGAAGAAAGAAGGAAGGAAGGAAGGAAGGAAGGAAGGAAGGAAGGAAGGAAGGAAGGAAGGAAGGAAATCTAAAAAGGGTGCACACCATCCACTGCCCTGCCTGTTCTCTGTCTCCCAGCCTCAGGATTCACGTGTGTGCTCTGGGGTTGACCCTGGTTTTCTCAGGACAGAAGGTGTCTGCACTCACAGACACAGAACATGAAGACAGAAGGCAGAGGCCCTGGGGACCCCAAGGGGCCGTGGTCTGGCCTGGGGACCCCAACCCCCTTGTTGCTCCTTGTCCTCCAGGCACGCCCCAAAGGCGAGGGTCTGACGCCGTACCAGGGCAAAAAGCGCTGCTTTGGCGAGTACAAGTGTCCCAAGTGCAAGAGAAAATGGATGAGCGGGAACTCCTGGGCCAACATGGGGCAGGAGTGCATCAAGTGCCACATCAACGTGTACCCGCACAAGCAGGTGAGTGGCAGGCTGGGTGGCGGACCTGGGCGGAGGCCATCTGAGGTGCGGGAGGGTGACTTTGTTCCTCAGGGCCTGTCTACTCCTTCGCAAGATGAGGATGAGAGCAGATCTCCGTGGGTTGGTTCTTTCCTCTGTGGTCTCTTCTGAGATGTGGGGGGTGGGGGAAGAGCCCATTTACCCAGGTAGAAAAGGAGAATAGAAGGGGACTGAGAGCCTCCATCAGAGGCCCCAGGTGAATTTTAAACTCCTGAATAAGCTGTGCTGTCGGGAGACAAGGCGGGGAGGGCAGCAGGGCGCTTGTTCACTCCCGTGTTTATCCAGTCGAGCCCTGTGAACAGGTGACTGGAGGTGACACATACGGGGCAGGGTTGAGGCAGTGCATCCCAGGAGGACTGACCTCTTAAGCCAGGTTGCAGAGAGAAGGCCCCTCAGAGGAGGTGACATCTATTCAGGGACCTGACGGAGGGGAGAAGCTGGGCCTGTCACAAGTGGAGGAGGGACCATCCTAGCAAGAGGACACAGTGGGTACAAATGCCCTGGGGCTGTAGGACTTGGGGTGCTGAAGGCCCCTGACTCATGAAGGAGCAGGAGGATGGAGCTGGAGGAATGAGGTGGGAGCGGAACAGAGCAGTTCCAGAGCTGGGGCTGGGAGGGCCAAAGGGAGCTCCAAAACAGCAGGGCTTCCAGCCTCCTTTGAGGACCTCCATTCTGGTGGTGTGCAGAGAGGAGGCGGGCAGGGGAGCAATTGAAAGTGGGGACGCCAGTGGGGACGCCATTGCTGCTGTCTCCCTGTGAGCTGGCAGGGGCTGATCTCCAGAGCTGGATCTGACACCGTCTTGCCAGATGGATGTGGAAGGGGAGGAAGGCCAGTAACCCGGGAGAGTCATCACACCTCCGGCCTGGGTGCCCGAGTGGAGGAGGTGGTTGTTGCTGAGGTGGGCAGCCTGGACTGAGGGAGCTGGGGTGGCATGCAATGTCTAAGACAAACGCAGGAGTTCTTGGATGCAAAGGCTGCCTTTGAGATGTGGCAAACATCAGGCAGAAATGGAACAAGGCAGTTCTACTCGCTATTTGGGAGCCCATCTGAGAAGTGAAGCCCGTGCATAATCGGGCATCACCAACCTCAAGGTGGTAGGGCAGGGGGAAGTAGACACTGCAGGGAAGGGATTTCCCAGCCCAGTGATGCCACCCCAGCATTTGGTAGAGGGGTCAGGTAGAGGGGGAGGTCTGGGGAGGGTGGAGTCTTGCACGTTGGTGTGGGGTGCCATTCACGGGCTAGGGCTAGGCTGGCCACAGAGAAGTACCCTTAGGATTAGCAGTAGGAGATGACCTTCAAACTCTGTAGGGCATCGCTCTTACTGGGGAACTTGCTCAGCTACAGCCAAAGCTTGGGAAGCACTAAAGCCCTTGCCGCACATGAGGACTGGGGCAGCTGCTGGCTCACAGCAGACCTGTAAGGCAGCTGGCCAGGCTACTGTCGGTGGCTCAGCCTGGCCTGAGGAGAGGGCAGCAGGGGTGGCAGGTAATAGTGGACGGGTGGAAAGGACTTGGGAATGACCCAGTTTCTGCAGACAGATGGGGGCTGCTCAGATCTGTGCTGATCTGGGAGCTCAGTCCCATAACCTTTGCATGCCCTGTGACCTAAGCAGAGAGGCCAGACCTAGCCCACACACTCCAGGCTGGTGGGACCTGGCTCCCACAACTTCCTTGGCCTCTGCCTCCCTAGCATCTGCAGGACAGGGCTCTCCTTGCTGGGTCCTTTCCATGGTGCTGGGTTTATTCCTGGCTTGTGCCACCACCCCCAGGCCAGCAGTGGCCTCACCTGCTTCGTCTCCACCCTGCCCAGTTCAGCCCTAGCACAGCCTCCTAGACCACATCTTTTCCTGTCTTCATACTCTGAGCCGGAGTCTCCCAGGGCCCCAGCTGGAAGGATCTTGCAAGAGCGTGTGGCTCTGCTCTTCCTGTCTTCTGGCCATCCAGCTGTTTGCTGAGCACCTACTGTGTGCAACAGGGAACCTGAGGCCCCAAGAGGAGATGAGACTTGAGCAGGTCATCCAGCCAGCCTCCAGGGGTCCTAGGACCTGGGTCTCTTGTCACCCATCCCCTCAGTCTCCTCTCCTGGGTGCTTCTCCCCAGGGGAGGTGGAAAGTGGTGAAGGGGTACAGAGGTGGTCTCAGCAGTGGTCAGGAGCCTCTGAAGAACCAAGGGTGCTCTGGGGCCCCCTCCTCAGATCGCTCAGTGGAGAGGGATTGGCTTCTCCTCCTGCCACCCTGATTCTGACCTGTCGGCCTTGGCACCACCTAGAACCCTTCATTTCTCTTCTGTTCCTATCCCTGCCACATCTGTTTCCCGTCAGGCTCCAGCTGGGCTCCCCCCTGTGGCCCTGCCCCCACGAGCAGAACACGCTAATGGGCTTTGCCTCGCTGCAGGGGGTGGGGGAGGCCTGCAGATCAGTCCCAGCTGCTGAGCGAGCGTTAGCCTCTGAGGAGGGAGGCGTCCTTACAACTTCCCTAGGCTCCCCTAGGCAGCCGTAGGCTGGGCTCCGCAGGCAGGTCAGGACCTATGCAGGGAAGCAGTACGGCTAGGGTCATGGCCATGGAGGGGCCATTCCTAGACGAGCAGAGGCCCTGGCTGGTGAGGATGTTGCCCCCGCCCCAGCCTCCCCAACCCTGTGTAATCATAGTAATAACACATGGGACCAGCACTGAGTGACACAGAGTGCTCGCTGTGCCAGGCATCATTCTAGTCACAGTGGCCAAGAGCTTCCTAGGCCTTTGGGCCTCAGTTTCCCTGAAGGAAGTCCCTTAGACTCCTGGCTTCACCTTTGAGTGACTCTCTACCAGCCAGCGTTCCCCTCCCATTAATAACAGAAGTGAACGACATTAATCGCTTCCGTCTACTGTGCTCTTCCTCGTCATTATCTTCACTGGATTGTTCAGGGAGACCCCATGAGGAAAGTGTTGTCAGCACCCCCCTTTAGAGATGGGGAATGGGAGGATCAGAGAGGTCAAGTGGCTGGTCCAAGGTTGCCCAGCTCAAAGGTAGCAGAGATGGCTTCAGAGCCCAGATCTGTTAGACGCCCCTGGCCAGGATGGAGTCTAGATGGGGACGCCGGTCTTCTGAAGGCTGCCTGAGATGGGGCTTCGTTCCCATCGTTTTTCCAGGCTTTTCTAGGCTTTAAGCCTAGAAGCACAAGGGTGGAGTTTATGACACCTGGGGAGGCAGGGTCCCTGCCCCCGAACTCTGTCCCTCCACAGTCCCCACCCTCACCGTCAGTAACCATCAGCTGCTCTGGATGTCAGTGTAGGGCCACGTCAGTGTCACTGGGCAGAAAAGCCAGTGTGCCACTTGTGAGCAGTTCTCAGCACCTCCCCGACCACCCTGGGTGTGGACGCTGGCACCTGAGGGTCCTTGGCCCCACGGCAGCCTGCAGTGCCCACCTCCTTTCCTCAGCATGTGGCTCCCAGCTGGCCCCTTTCAGTTCCCCCAGTCTGTGCAGGGGACCTTTCTGCAGGCAGGGGTTCCAGGCTGGGGCTGCATCCAGCGAGGAAGCAGCGTCTCTGAGCCGGCCGAGAGCATCTGCTCAGGAGGTGCTCTTAATGACCTCCATGGAAGCAGCTCTTTGCTGGCTTTTGAGAGCCAGAAAAGTGGGGTGGGGTGAGGGGAGCACCCTGCCTAACTGAAGCATCTATGTTCATATGTGTCCAGTTTACAAACATCTGGACATCTCTGGATCCGTCAGTACCGTGCAATTGAGGCCCACCTCATGGATGTGGAAGCCAAGGCTCCCTGAGCCCACACGGTGCACAGGTGACCCGCTGGGCCTAGCCAGTCACCTCCCTTCTGCAGGGCTCCTTTTCCTGTGTGAAAGCAGAGAAGTTCTCTTCAGGGAGCCTCTTAACCAACAGGGCAGGCACTGGCCAATCCCTGGGATGTGGGGTGAGTCTGAGCCCCGACTGCTGGCCTCATGAGCTCTCAGCCTGCTCGCCCTGAGCTAAAATGCTGTGGCTATGTTCAGGCTAGTCTGTCCTTGAATCCTGAAGCAGGCATTTGAGTGAGAAGTGGCCAGGAAGACAGCTGAGGGCTGCGAGTCAGGAGCTGTGGCGTGGGTCTCCCCTGTTCTGTTCGGCTTCCTCAAGTAGAGGCAGAGTACGTGTGCCAAGGCTTCAGGTACAGGCCTGTCCCCTCCCTCAGCCCTGGCCCAACCTGGAGCTGAGTCTGTGCCTCCGAGACAGACAACTGTGTGTGGCAGGGGGCAGGAAGAGCCCGACTCCTTGGCCGAAACCACCTCTGTGTCTACAGATGCCCTTTATGTGTGTTTCTCTCTGTCCCTCTCTATCTCTGGGTGTGTGTTTCTCTCTCTCCATCTCTGTCTCTGTGGATGTGTGTGTCTCTGTGTGCTGCTCACTCTTTCTGCTTCTCTCCATGTCTCTGCCCCCACCGGGGTCCCCTCCCCCTCCTGTCTGCAGAGGCCCCTGGAGAAGCCGGACGGGCTGGATGTGTCCGACCAGAGCAAGGAGCACCCGCAGCACCTCTGCGAGAAGTGCAAGGTCCTGGGCTACTACTGCCGCCGCGTGCAGTGACCGCCGCCCTCCCGCCGAGAAGATGCCGCCTCTCCTGTGCTGCTCCGAGGGGCTGCGTGTTCCCCTCTCTGTGGGGTGTCCTCATAGGCCTGAGGGTCTGGGTCGGGGTCCTGAGGGCCCTCGTCTCTCGTGTGCTGACAAACAGTGTTACTGACATTGCTGCCCCCACAGGCCACAGGAGCAGGGGCACTGGGGTCCTTTCTGGGCCTTGGGTCTCTGGAGGCAAGCTGAGGCTGGTACCCGGGACCCACATGGCCTCGGTGTCCCTGCAGGCGCTCCTCCTCTGAAGAGTTCCTTTGGGGCAAGCAGCCTCACATTGGCCACAAATGCACTAAATTTACTGTGAATCCCAAAGCCTGCAGGGGACCACCCCCCAAGTCCAGCCAGGCTGCCTCCTCCTACCCAGAGCCTTCCAGTTTGCCCTGTGCAAAAAGCCACTCTCAGAAAGCCCTATTTTTCTGTCTTGGTTAAGTCCGCATTTTGGCAAGCAACAGCTGTTCTTGCAGCTGCTGAGGCATGGGCCTCTCTGTCCCCTGCCCACATTGATCCCCAAACCCTGACAGCCTCTGATGTCGCTGGCATTGCACCTGGGTGCTGCACACCCCACACCGAGTGGACCCAGACAGGCAGAGGTCAGGGACAGGGGCTACTGGTGCTGGGCAGAGCCCCAGATGTGCCCTGGACACATGGGGCAGCACCACCACCAGACGCTTTTCCTACTGGCTTGGGCTTTGTCAGCCCCATTCTCTTCCCTCTCCTCCTCCCACCCCTGCCGGGGGTCCACAGCCCAGTGAAGGTTGCAGGGCCCAATGTGGAACCCATTTGGCAGGAAGGGCACAGGTCTGGCTCTTTGGAGACCCCACCTCAAGTCCTGGCCCTGCTCCTACTTGCGGTCACCTTGGGCACAGGCTTTTCATCTCTGGGCCTTGGTGTTCCCTTAGCTAAGTGAGAGCAAAGAGGCCCCTTTCAGCTCAGATGTTTCGGGGTTCAGCCTTACGGTTGCTGTCTCCTGGAGCAGAGAGCATTACTTAGTTTCACCGTGAAGGGTGGGGGAAGCCTCCCAGGTGCCCATATGCCACACTGTCACCCTGAAGGATGCCAGTTTCTCCCTTGTAGCCCCAGCCTTGCCTCTTGCCCCTCACCCCTTCAAAAATGGAGGAAGATCCCCCTCCTCACGTGGGCCTCCCAGCCCTCATGTGGAACAACCCTGAGACGAGCTGCAGAACCTCCCATTTGTCAAGTGGGGACAATGATTTCCTACCTCCCAAGGGAGCAGAGAGACTTGCCGTGTCCCGTGTTCGGGGAGCCCACTGTCCTCTCCAGGAGGTGGGATCGTGCCCTCCTCTCCCTCCCCCTGGTGAAGACTCTGCTTCTGTCATCACAGACTCCTTCCTTTTTCCCTAGGGAGGGAGGGAACCAGCTGTCAGGGCCCTGCCGCTTGATTTTACCCCTACATTTTGCCTCTGTGAGAAAAACAAACAACAAACTCAGACCATGAAATGGGCCTGAAATCCAGTGTTTACCATGGCTTGAGGACACCCACCTGGTGCCCAGTGGCCTTTTGTTTTCAAATGAAAATGCTTTGTTCAACTGAGGAGTTACAGTGAAGTGTTAGCCAGGGGTCCAGAGAGCAAGTCGAAGAGACAGAGTGAGTGTATTTGCAGCCAGAGGGCTGCAGGGTAGATTCTAGGGGCCTTACCCTCTGAGCACTTCAAAAGGAGTGTTTGCTCCAGCCCAAGGTCCCAGCTGCCTCCTGGCCGGAGGCCTAGCAGGAGAGCATGCCAGGCAGTGGACTATGGATACCTCGTACCACTGGGCACTATGCAAAGGACTCCCCAGCCCAGCTCTGCCCTGTCTTCGCTAGATGCCAGGGTGAGCTAGGGTTGGCCCAACCGGAGGCTCTGTGTCCCCAAGGAGAAGCTGTCACTGTCAGTCATCCTGCCGTACTTCTAAAATGAATGTCTGCAGGGGTGGGCAGTGTGCTTGTGTCTGCTGCAAGGATCAGGCCTAGATCTTTCCAGGGACCTGGCTCTCCAGGGGGACCCTTGGCTCAAGGATGCCAGAGGCCTGCCAAGTAGGCTACAAAGGTGGGGGAAACCCAGACCCTAAAAAGAATCCAGGTCCCAGGACCTGCCACACACAGGCCAACAGGAGATGGGATATCACCCCAAAGTGACCTTTTCGGTGGGCTTGTCCATCTGGCGTTCACTGGCCTGCCATCTGGAGAGAGCAGAGACCTTGGGACCTGGTCCCCCTGCCTCTGCAATCCCTTCTTGCACCATTCTGGTTGAATCTGGGAGTTTTCCGGGGTCAGCAAAAGCCACTGCTGTTCTGGCCTGGCATTGTGAGAATTAAGTGCTCAGAGGGCCTGAGAGCCCCAGGGGCAAGAAAGTATGTGGTTTCAGTACGTTCAAAAGGGACAATCGCTCGCAGTTAGTAGAGCTAGCCGCCTAGTTGGGAGATAATGGTGTTTACCCCTATGAAGTATTTGATAGTTCTACTTGTGAATTTGTATTTATTTTGAGTTATACTTGACACAGAATTTCTTTTTTTAGAAAAAAAAATACTATGTGTGTATTTTGAAAAAAAAAATGCATAGATGTTAAAATTTCTGCATGGTTACCACTTTTTTCTCACAACATTGAATTCGGTAGCTTTTCCCGAAAACTCTTCACAGTGATTTTTTTTGTCTGTATATATTTGAGGGCCTTTTATAAAAAAAGAAAAAGAAAAGAAAAATATAATTGTTTGATTTTTGAGATAAATAAAACACGAGGAGAGAGGCATTTTCAAAACTTCAGAGCTTTCAGGAGGCCAATAGAATATCAAACAAAGATTTCTGGAAGTATTTTGTGAATCTTCTGGTTAAGCTGCAAGGAAATATTTATGTTGAGAACCTTTCTCTTTTTCCTGTTACTGGCATTTTAGTTATTTTCTCATTTGTTTATTTTTTACTATGCTTTATTCTGTAAAAATCTGCAATTGAAACTCCATTAAGAAGGAAATATTGTCTACATAGAATATTATATGAAGTTGGTACATAATTCTGATGAGGAAAAAGAAATCTTTGCAATTCTTTAAGCCATATTGTTGTTATTCTGTGTTATTTTCCGTGGATGAAAATATCAGTATTAAGTAGCCAGCATATTATGCAAGTGTTTAGACTTATTAATATGTTTTTGTCCTGTATTTATATATCTGTGTATTTTGGGAAGTATTGCTTTTTCTAAGGGAAGCTATTATTAGCTATATAGTGAAAAAGGGAATGGGACCCTTTGTGCCTCTTCCACTGAGGATAACAGACACAGCATTGTAACCCATTCTCCTGCACCTTCTTATTATCTTATTATTATGGTTTTATTAATTTTGTAGGGAGGAAGGGAGTGGGTGAGGGTTAAAAGGAGCAGTGGACTACCCAGCCCCTTGGCCTGACCGGGGGCTCCCACTCAGCAAGGCCCAGGGAGGGAGGACGAGTGAGCAACTGGCTTCTTCACGCCCCCCCTGGAGTTTTGTCATCTGAACCATGCTCGGGGTCCCTGTGCTCTGGGAACTTGGATATGACAGTTCGAGCCCTTGCACCTGCCCTCCGGCATCTCATAGACTTGAATCTACTCTAAATGAACATTTAATCCAACCTCACTACATTGTAGCCCAGAGCGACAACTAACCCTGAAGTGTGGGGTGTGCGATGGGTAGGCGGCCAGGTGTTTCTCTGGGGACTGTGGCAGTGGGGCTCAGCCCTCTCCACTGCCGAAGTCCACCGCCCCTGCGTGGTGACCCTGTCATGTCTGTAAATGTTAGTATGTGTGTGTCCAGCTAAAAAGACAAACAGAACCCGTGGGCCCAGCTCAGAGGGTGCGTGGGGAAGGCTCCCGACTCCCCCCAGGGCCGCCCTCGGGATGGCATTCCGTTGTGTGCCTTATTCCTGGAGAATCTGTATACGGCTTGCCTATAGAAATGTAGCCTTCTCACGCGGTATTAAAAGGACTTCTAAAAGCAAAAGCGCCTCCTGGTTTCCTTGTTTACACAGAGCCGGGGAAGGCGGGGGACCAACGGGCGTGGGAGGGACTTGGGGCTGCCCTTCCGCTCTCCAGGCTGGGTCATTCCGTCCTTGCCTTGCCACCATGCCTTTGGTTTGCCTCCTCCCAGCCCCTGTGGACACTCTCCCCAAGACAGGCCCCAGGCTGGGCGAGATTGTCAGCAGATTAGGTCACAGCTCTTGCAGGGATGGGCCGCCTGGTAACCATATATAGGAGTGAATCTGCCTCAGCGCCTGCAGCCGGGGCGCGTTGCTGCTGCTCACACTCGGTCCTCTTGGCCATGGCTGGCTTTGAGTCCCAGACCCTGGACGTCACACAGTGAGCAAACCGAAGGGTCCAGGGCAGAGGGAACAGGGAGTTCCTCTTTTTAGCCAGGCCAGGACTGGGCTGGGCTCTCACCTGAGACAGACAGCTGGAGCCACAAGACCCAGCTCCAAAGGCCTTGGTCCCAGGATCATCACGTGTGGCCCTCTCAGGGCACTAAGCCCTGAACCCACCCCAGAGAGACTTAAGTTGGTCTGGATGCGTCGTCGGGTTTGAAGCCTCCGAGGCAGTCCCCGGGCATCTAAAGTCGAGATGCACAGGACTCTGAGATGGTCCCTCATGGTCCTTGGGGACAGAGGTGATGCCAGTTGGGAGGCTGGGGGGCAGGGCTTCGAGCCCACCAAGGCGCCTCAGTTCCTTGCTGCTATCTGCACATAATGCTGCCTGATGGAAGTGGAGAGAGGGGAACGGGGTCTGGAGACTCCACTTGTCAGGGAAAATTTTCCAGGTTTCAAATATTGGCCACTAGCTTGCTAATTTTTAAAACCGGGTATAGGTCAAAGCATATGTCCAGAC